TAAATATTATTTATATTAACTGGTATAGTGCAGCCTTCCCTCTTTCATTAACAATCATGCACACATACACTCTTCTAGTTGGCTCCTCTGCTCCCACCCAAACATATCCACTCATCTGGGCTATGCAGAGTGCACAGGCACCGCACGTAACCTCTGTGTCCTTAAATCCTTTTCTGGAGACTACATTCAAGGGCTTACAGTCTTCCCAGGTTCTTGCTTCTGCCATCAACACTTAAATTACCAGCCGGGTTCAGGGTTCAGGTAGCCACCTGATGGCTGCTGACACAAAGTTTATGAAAATTTTACCTTATGAGCAAAAAAGGAAATATATTTCAACCTAAACCATGTCTTCCTCTTCCCTTGCAGCAGCAGTATGTAAATATCCACCCATTTCTGGAGAAAACCAAGATTTCACTCCTGATACATCTAAGTTTTCCCTGTGAAAAATAGAGCTTTTGGTAAATCTGTGTGGAAGGGGAACTTGAAAGTTTACAAAATCAGCAGAACAGAGAGCTCTGCACATGACTGAGATTTGTTACCTCCATAACCCCCAGTCAGCTGTGTATGGGACTTGCTTCTCAGGTCACGACGACTTCATCCCCTTTGATGGCAAGGACTTTGGTAGAGACGCTCACTTCGACGGGGACAAAACCTGGACGAAACGCACAGAGGGTAGGAAATTAAGCTCTCCAAGCCCTTCCCAAAGCAGGCTGCACATGAAATCAAGGGTGCAGTGTCTGTCTCCTCTCTTCCTTAAGAAGTTCTTAAAAATGGGCCTGATTTGAAGGAGCGTTGGGCAGCTGTTTTCCATAGCTATAAAAAGCCTCTGAGCCCTCTGGTTTAAAAAGTTAAGGCCCCAGCTGAACTTCTGCCATGGACTGGGTGGAGATTTATTTGGGAGGGAGCTGAGGGACCTGGCAGCCCCCTTCTCCCCACTCCTCCAACCTGCTTGTCTCTCCCCATACAGGTACATCACCTTCACTGATCCATGGTCTTTCTCCCACACTGACTTCTGCAGGATCTACAGACTATTTCCTTGTACTCTACTGTAATTATTTCATTATTTTTCTTTCTGACCAGAATTTCATCTCCAACTGAATTTCCCTTAATGGCTTCACTTGCTTAGGCAAACAGTTCTGAAAGCTTCTGACCTACCTTATGTCCTTCATGTTTTCAGGACAAATGAAAATGAAATTATGTGGTTTGTTTATTGTTTTCAGGTACGAACCTGTTTTATGTTGCTGCCCATGAGTTTGGCCATTCACTGGGACTTTTCCATTGCAAAGACCCCAATGCTCTGATGTACCCAGTGTATAGGAAATTTGACCCTTCAGTATTCCCTCTTCATCAGGATGATATTAATGGCATTCAGTACCTCTATGTTAATTCACAATTATTAATCAACTAGTGCTTGTAATTTCAAAGACTTTGGAATACCTTTCAGTGACATTTTTGTGTACTGGATATACCTGAATGAGTTCTCACTTCAATTTCTTCCATAAACTGCTTCTTTTAGGGCCATCTTCTAACACCCACAATGACCAAAGGGAATCTACTGAGATAAAAGACGCAACTGAGTCAAAAGATCCTGCACTGCCAAACACCTGTGGTCCTGATTTAACTTTTGATGCTGTCACCACTTTCCGTGGAGAAATAATGTTCTTTAAAGACAAGTCAGCTTTCTGAAAGTAAAATAGCTGGATATCATTTTTAAATTATGCCCCACAGCATGGAAAAATAACTTTACCCAGAATATCAGCCATTCTAGGCAGGAAGGCAAGACAGGGAATCAGGTTAAGACGTGGGAGGCAAAAACACGGAGGGTGGTGGAGAAATGAAGAAAGTTAAGTATAAGGAGGAAGATCACCTTTGAAACAGGGCATGCTATGAATAGGGTGGGGAAAAATGGCTCTTCTGAAACATGGGCTGTTTTCTCTTTAGGCTGTAATCAAGTCCCAAGTGTTTGGCATCTGGGAGAGTTCAGCTTTGGCAAAAGGCAACACCAGCCCTGGGACACTCAGCATTTTTATTGCTGTCCTTGCTTTGAGAGCTGAGGGTTTACCAGTCTTGACACAGTATCTGCTTGAAGAGCCCCTGCAGTGGTGGTTTAGTATAATAATAAAAGGAAAGGATAATTGATTCGGTGCTAAACTCGGACAAACTGTCCCTCTCCAGGGCATGAGAGCCCAAAGTCTTGAGCTCTTGAGAAGGGGTAAAAGAGCTGATTCCTCTCCTTTTCATGTGGTAGGACTGTGCTTCCCCTGCTTCAGACCGTCCCCAAAATCAGCACTAAAGTGAGTTTTGACCTCGGAGTTTGGAGTCCACAAAGCCAGTAAAGTGTTATTTTGCAGAAGATCCTCATGCACACCAGCCTTTTCTCTAAGCTGGTGTTGGTAACACCAGGGTGGGGTTTCATTCCCAAAATCTTACCCCATACCAGCCATGTGAGCCAGGTCTCTCTAGGCTCCCTTTCTGGGTAAGGGAAAATATTAACTGTTTTGACAAAACAGTTCATCTGACCTGTTTTAGATGGCTGCATCAAGATGAGAGAAATCCCACCATGGAAATAACTTACTTTCCATTGACATTACAGGGAGCTTAGTGTGACTAACTCGGGGTACATGGCTGGGTTTAGTCAGATAAATCCTGCCCTGGTTGCCATGATGTGGTTTCATGCATTAGTGTGTGTGAACATTTGATTTTATTTAAAACCTGTTCTATATTTACATAAGGCATTTTTGGCGCAAGCATCCTGCAGTCAGAACAGCTGATTTTAATTTAGTATCTTCGTTCTGGCCATGGCTGCCACCTGGTGTTGATGCTGCATATGAAATTCCTGAAAAAGACAAAACTGTCATTTTTAAAGGTAAAATGTTATCTTTTTATTTTCCTATGTTGTCTTTCCAAGTAGCCTTGAGAGTTTGTGTCTGGCTTAAAAAACATTTAAGCTCTTTCTGTAGGATTCCACATGCTTTAATTTAGTCCAATAAATTGGTGCATTTCAATCACAGAGATAACAAAAATATTATCCAAGATAAGGAACATGTATCTTATTTTTTAATGTCAATATAGAAAAGTTTTCCTGCCAAAATACATATCATTCTTTTCCTTTTTTTCTGTAAAATTATCTATTGAATTTAAAAATGATAACACATGCTTATTCCTAGCTTGTGGAAAACTAACGTAAGTATGAAGACTGAAATTTCAGTTTTCATAAAATGTGGTGTGAAGAACTGTTCTTGCTTTTTTTTTGGACTCTAGAACTAGTATGTAGAATGTTTTGGAGTAACCATTATTTTCTCTCTGCATTTTTCCATTAAAAGATTAGCTTTCATGAAAAGGATTGTGTGATTCCCGGAGAAGATTCTCATAACATATTTTCATCAACTTTTCTTGATAGGGAATGAATTCTGGGTTGTGAGAGGAGATACTATAGTTCCTGGATACCCCAAAAAAATCTACACCCTGGATTTTCAAAGGATTTTACCAAAATCAATGCTGCTTTTTATAATGGAAATGAGGGGAAAACATATTACTTCACAGTGGACAAATCTTGGAGGTAGTATTTCCTGTGCTACTTTCCTAAAAAGGAGCAAACATAATCACATGGTCAATATCCTGTCATGATTTAGGATGCATTAGTCACACACTTTGGGTAATCTCTTTCCGTGTCACAAATGGCTATGGAAAAATATTTGAAAGGGAGGTTAAACAGTGCTTTTAGCTTTCCTTTTAATTGATTTAATTATTTAACATTTATTTATTTATTTATTTATTTTCATTTAACTGCCTTGGGAAAAAAAGCCATCCTACAGCTCCACAAGTCAGCTCAGGAAATCAGTCAGGACATCACTGTTTATATCAAAAACCTTTCTGTGGGGTAAGAAGGAGTATCCCACCCTTTTCCCAGTTACCAACAGACAGTTTCATAAAGTTGCTGATAAATGCCATGTACTGCAAAGAATTCTCTCCTTTGCATGGTTATTATTTCCTCTTTTCAATCCAATCCCTACTGTTCAGGTTTGTGTTACAGGTCATGTATTTCTAACAACTGAAGGAGGTGCTCCTATGACAGAAGCAGTTGATAACCTGAACTTTTGCAGATGAATGACACAACTTCTCTCTTTCGTGCCACCACAATGCCCAAATCATTGTACATACAGAGATCATCCTGGAGTAACTATTCAGCCACATATTTGTAGTTTAAGCAGAAGATCTGTGTCCTGGTTTCGGCTGGGATAGAGTTAAATTTCTTCCTAGTGCTGTGTTTTGGATTTAGTATGAGAAGAATGTTGATAACACGCTGATGTTTTTAATTGTTGCTATGTACCCCGCTAGTCAAGGACAGCTCCCATGCTCTGCCAGGGGCACAAGACGGGAGGGAGCACAGCTGGGACAGGTGGCCGAGCTGGCCAACAGGGTATTCCATACCACGTGATGTCATGCTCAGTATATGAATGGTAGGTATGTTCCAGGAAGTAGCGATGGCTACTTGGTTATCAGTCAGCGCGGGTGGTGAGCAATTGCATTGTGCATCACTCATTTTGTATATTCTATTTAGTAGTAGTAGTAGTAGTAGTAGTCCTTTTCTGTTCTATTTATCTCAACCCATGAGTTTTTCTCACTCTTACCCTTCCAATTCTCTCCCTGTCCCACTGGCCGGGGGGAAAGTGAGCGAGCGGCTGCACGGTGTTTGGCTGCCTGCCAGGTTAAACCATGACAATCTGACTTCCACATTTTAGTTCAAACTCTCATAGCTTGAAGGGCTTCAGTGGAGCTGTTTGTCTGATCATTAAAACTCTTACTGAGCAAAGGTATCAGAGGGAAAATGCTTTCAGAAGCCTTCTTATTCCAGCACTGATAGATAAACTGCACTTCACTAAAAATGTAACAGCCTGCTATAAGTAATTTAGGTAAAATTACTTAGAGTAACTTATAACTTAAGAAAAAAAACAGGTTTTCCCTGATAAACATTTCTTACAGAGAGGGAACATGAAAGCAATCTTTTTATAATCTTACACATCTAACTTATATTTGAGATAAGATTATCTACCTCTCCTTCAGGTACAGTCTCTTAGTAAAAACATTTAGCAGATTTATGATGATGGTTCAAATATTAGGTATTCGTAGACATATCTTGAGCTGATGTAAACATAAGCAATTCTTCCAGCGTAGTTGATAGAGTAATAACTATTTATGGCACATCGTGTCTGTCTCAACACTACCTAAATGATACTGAAAGTCTTCGATGACCTCAGTTACCTGTTGGTAGGTAGAAGGTAATGAGGTGAACTGAATTAATCATGAGTTGTTTGCAATTTTTATTGACACCAGGTTGTTCATAATTTGTCTCAGTTATGATAAAAGAAGTCAGTCTATGGACAGGAAGCCCATACTGATAAGACATGCATTTCCAGGAGTTAATGGGAAGATGGATGCTGTTTTTCAACATGAAAGTGAATAACTGATCTTAATAAAATCTGTATGAAATACTCAGGGTCATGGGGCTGAGAGTGCTTGGACAGAGAGAGGCACTTCTGCATGCTGCTCATAGTCGTCAGGATGCCAACAAGACCCTGAAATAGACATGTAACACTCCCATGCTTCACTTTACCCCCTTGCAAAATAGTGATGATATACCTTTAGTAACAGCTTCACAGCTGGAAAGGCCAGCTCTAAGGGACAGATCGCTATATCTGTATTCATGTTGATGTGCACCTCACGCCATGAAGAGCACCACTCAAGACGGTGACATCTCAACAATGTAAGATCTACCTGCTGTGAGCAAGGTTATCACAGTCTGGCCCTCTGACATGAAACGGCACTGCTTTGAGAATAATAATTGGCACTACCTTCTCCTGCATGAGGGAGAATGTTACTTAGACAGGGAGATGCTGGAAGTGACTCAAGGGTACGTCTCACTGCCAAGCTTCCCAGTTGTCTCCTGGCTCCTCCTCTCCTGATCATCAAAACCCACGCATGTTAAATTGCTTCCCAGCAAATCTATCAGCTTCCTCCAAGATAAGTCTCACACATGGTGCTGGGGATCCTTAACTGCAGCCATCACTCCCGGAGGGCAGTGTGGATGTGGCTGCCCCAGGCTGGAACTCTCCTTCCCCGCACTGCATCTGGTAGCACCCCAGCAAGCTGTACCCGCTCGCACCTTGCCATGCTCTGTGCCACTCCAGGCTGTGCAATACCTACCCACAGGTGGCTAGAAACACACCCTTCAACACAGCTGTTGTATAACAGCAGATATTTTAAACTGCAGAAACGCACAGGATAAATTTTTTGTAGGGTCACCTCATGACATTGAGGTGCTGGAGCGTGTCCAGAGAAGGGCAACGAAGCTGGTGAAGGGTCTGGAGCACAAGTCTTCTGAGGAGCGGCTGAGGGAACTGGGGCTGTTTAGCCTGGAGAAGAGGAGGCTGAGGGGAGACCTCATCGCGCTCTACAACTACCTGAAAGGAGGTTGTAGCGAGGTGGGGGTTGGTCTCTTCTCCCAAGTAACAAGCGATAGGACGAGAGGAAATGGCCTCAAGTTGCGCCAGGGGAGGTTTAGACTGGACATGAGGAAAAACTTCTTTACTGAAAGAGTGGTCAGGCCTTGGAACAGGCTGCCCCGGGAAGTGGTTGAGTCACCATCCCTGGAGGTATTTAAAAGACGTGTAGATGAGGCGCTTAGGGGCATGGTTTAGTGGGCACGGTGGTGTTGGGTTAACGGTTGGACTTGATGATCTTAGAGGTCTTTTCCAACCTTAATGATTCTATGATTCTATGGAATTCATTAAGTATATTATGCAGGGTGTGCATGCCGGTTTGCTATAGAAGGTGTCCCCACGCTGCTGTGCACCATTTTGCAGAGGTTACACCTGGGAGTAGATGCTGTTGGCAGCGTTAAATGTATCCAAAGTTTTTTTGAGCTCTTTCTGGATGTTGTTAAAGCATATGAATCTTTACACCTGCGATATCATAATTCATCTGGGTTTTTTCCCTAGACTTCTTTTTTTCTTCCGTGGAAGAAAGCAATTTGAGTTTGACCCTGATAAGAAAAGAGTTACACACCTCCTAAAGACAAACTTCTGGTTTCCATGTTAAGAAAATGAAATCTGTAATGGTGTTGGAAAGAATGTAGTGTTATTGCACCAGAAACACTTTTTCTTTTATAAATATATGGAATGTATAGGTACTTCAGTGTTAGTCAGCAAACCTCAGCCCCTGTACAATCTGTGTTTCTGTAAATAACAGAACAGTATTTAACATACTGATGTGTATATATGTATGTAATTAACATCAGGATTGCTAGCTTGCCAAAGAACAATGCAGTTTTTACTTGATACAAAATTGTGTCTTCTTTTATTTTTAGCATTGTCTGCTTTTCACTCTTTGTGCTGTACATCACCCTACACAGAGCCCTACCAGCCAGGAGTCCATGAGGAAGAGCATTTCTCTTCCTAGAGCTAGGATTGCTTTCAGCCAGTTTTAGATATTTCAAAGTTAAGAAGCAGGTTAATCAAGCTACCGTTCATAATTACGGAGCTCCAGAGAGCAATCCCTCCCAGCCTGAGGTGGGTGCCTAGGGATGGAAGTAAGTGCTCCTTTTCATTCCTGACTAGAGAGGCAGCCTGTTTGAGCAGTTTATGTTAGACACATGATTATAGAAGGCTAAGCTTAAGTGTGATGAATCCTACCCTAAGATATTTATTGATATGTATGTGGTTAAAGGCTTATCTCCACAAACACAGGAGCAGAGGGGCACATTGGCATGTAGAGAGCCCCAGTCATCCCTGGCCTGCCTCCGCTCCTCCCCAGCAGTCCCGGGGGAGCCCCCAAAGGCTGGGGGACACCCGTCACCATGTGCCAACGGGAGAGGGTCCCCATCACCTCAGAGGCTGAGGGGTCACTGCCAGCAGGACAGGGATCAGTATCTGGGGGAAGAGCATTTGGGGGTTTTATAATCATGTTTGAAAGGGACTGTGGGAATGTGCAAAATTTATTATGGGTTGATTAGGGGAAAGGCCAAAGACAAGGTAGATTGGGGAGGAACAGGTTTGGGAAAATAGAGGGATAAGTGGATGAAGGGGGCTGGTTGCGCCTGCACATTTGGTCCTATCTTCTCAGTAAATCATATCTTATGTGTGGGTGAGCTCTTTCTGCATGTGTTTTGGTGAACTTCAAGCTGCACTGGCTGCCAAGTAGGTTAAGAGGTCTGAGTGCCAGCAGCTGGAGCATGGCTGCAAGCTGCAGGGACTCATACGTTACTGGGGATACAGGAGGTGCGGGGGCAGCTACTGGGAGGACTGCGTGTCTGAGTCCGGCTGCTGAGGGCATCCACACTGTTTGTACTTCCATGTCAATGTTTCACCAGTGGATGGAATTCCTCATCAGCCAGAGGGGAGGAACGGGATGGGGCCACCAGTCCTTTTCATATTTGTCCAAGTGCTCCATGTCTTCTGTCTGTGATGATCCCTGTGGCCAGCCTTATGTTTCTCTGGACCTGGGGGACAGACATGCAGCAGCTGCCAGTTCAGTACTGCTGACAGTAATCTCCCTGTTGATGAAGTCAGGCATCACTTGGTAATGCTCCACAGGGGCCCGTAAGTATTCAGATGGACAGCTAGCAAGATCTAAGGTCTTTTCTTTTATGCACGTAAAAAATCTTGCCTAGTACCCACTGTCTACCCCTCATTAGACAACTTCCCTAAAAAAAGACAAAAACAGAGAAAAGATAGTTCTTCCATTTGATTCCTCTTCTCCATGAATCACAGAATCACAGAATAATTGAGGTTGTTGGACCTCTGGTCCAACTCCCTGCTCAAGCAGGGCCACCTAGAGTGGGTTGCCACAGCTCTAAGTGGCTTTTGGAGATACTATTTTTGCACATATCCAAAGAGGGAGACTCTGCCACCTCACTGGGCAATCTGTGTGTCGGATTAACTCTATCCCAGCCGAAACCAGGACACGTGTCAGTGCTCGGTCACCATCATAGTAAAAAAGTGTTTCCTGATTTTCAGACGGAACCTCCTGTGTTTCATTTGTGTCTGTTGCCTCTGGTCCTGTCAGGACAAGGCAATTGTATTTATACATACAATTGTATTGTATGAATGTAATGAGATATTTCAACACACTTTATGGAACCTTTTTTCTGATGCATTTTTAAAACCCCTAGTAGAAGGACTACTCAAATGGGTCACTCCAGTGTGGACCTAGACACTGAGCAAATTTTATCTGAATTCTGTCAAGGTCGAAAACATATTATGGCATTCTCAGTCTTGCAAGACAAACACTGCTGCCACACCGTGCTGTGGAGGTGGCGAAAAAGACTTTGCTGACCAAACAGAACTAGAGTCAAAATGATTAGTTTTAATTACAGCACCTTCAGAAAAGGAAATTAGTAGCTCTGACTGGTGTCTGATATTTCCAAGGTCAGGGAAGCAGGTTCAAATCTTCTAACTTGAATGTTTCTGTTGAATTTAGTAGGAAGTGTTTCACTGCTCTTTATTTGTTCCTTATTATTCACCTCATGCTGTTCTTGTTTTCTAATTCTGGTTTTCCTTCATGTTTCTGGTATGGCTTTTTGAGTGGTCTCACAACTGCAAGACTTAATCAGTCCAATCAGCTATACCAGTAAAAGTCAAAAAGATGCATGAACGGTTTGGCTCACATGTTATAGATTTTTAATTCCTTAAGTAAGTTTCCAATTGTCCTGGGTTTGAGTGGCTTTCTTCAGTTGTTCCTACTGCTGATCCTCCTCTACAGTATCTGTGCCCTCCTTAGCACTGCCATTGTTGTTAACTGCACTAGACCATGTCATTTTAAATGGGATAATCTCCTCCGGCTCTGATCTTTCCAACTTTTTTAGGAAATACTCTCTTTCAGATGAGATTATAGTTCTCAGAGCAAAACTGGCTTGTCCTAGACCTTTCATGATTTTTGTAGTTTTGTAGTTTTCTGGCTCCCAAGTACTTATCTGACTAGTTCTTCCTTGTTTTTGATGATTTCTGATTAGTCAGGACTCTTTCCTTCCTTGTTTCACTAACTGTGCACACAGATGATCATACTAATTGTTGAAATATGAAGTCTTCGATCTGTAGCAGAAGGAGAGTTTAACTGACTCTAGTACTATATATCTTAATATAATTTACCTGTTTTAGTGTTGGATGTTGGTGTCTTTTTTTTGCTTCACAATTCTTATTTTAAAAATCGCTGGTACTACTGACAAGTCAGTCTCATCATTTGAGTGAAAGCAGGGTTTTGAACTGAAGGTCATTGACCTATATTCGATATCCCGGGCTCTTCTGAGATACCGTTTGAGACCTGGACTCTGAGTTTATACATTCATTGTCTGTGGTACACTCAGTCCAAGTATTTCAGTTATGGTTTTCTCAGTTTTCTAAACACATCAAATTTTTCCATGCTATAGCAAATTCCTACCTGTTTGCATGGAAAATTGGGTGAAGACAAAAGTTTCTTCACAAGGAACAGGCTTATCACATGACTCTTTCTCCTCTAGAATTCAAATCACAAAAATTTGTGAATGTTTTCTTCAATATTTATAATGGTGTCATTTGTTGTGATTTCCACCATCTTGTCTTGGAGGACATTTTGCCTACATCTGAATGTATCTATTTGCCTTTTGTTTGCCAAAGTACATGGATGCCATAGTGCATCCATCAGACACAATACAGGAGGTCCAACATGGAAGACCCAACACTATCTACCCCAGGAAAAAACAGTTTGGTTTGGATGTTCTTTTTCTTACCATTTATTGGTTTTCTTGGTTTCACACACTCACCCTGCCTGGAAGGGACAAATGCCCTTTAATATTGTTCTTGGCATGATTACATATGTATTATCGCAATAGGTAGGGCTGTGGTGTAGTGAACTGAAAAGTTATTGTGTAACGATTTGGACACCCAGAACTAAAAGACCCCAGAGAGTTTACCAACTAAGTAAAACAGACAAAGGTAACTTATACGTCCTGGCAGAAAAGAACAAAATTAAAATGAGTCTGTTTAACTACTGTTTGCAGGAAGTTGTTCCTAGTGAAATGTTGGCTTGGGTTTAAGGAAATGAGGAAAAAAAAAGCCCTTTCTTGGTGACAAAAGCAGCAGATTTGTAAGTTCAGAAGCTCTGAAGGCAATTCAGAAGAGCAAAGATGCATCTCTCAGCTGCTATTGGTATTCCAGAGAAAATAGTTAAAAGCTGCCAAGGTGCAGACTTTGCTTCCATAGGATTCCCTGGCAGCCTCTGAACTGCCATCTGGCTCGTCTCCAATCAGCCCGTTCATGTTTGCTCCCTGCCAGCAAGACAACTGCCCTTGCAGGTTCACAAGCAGTAGCTGTCTCATGGGATGTTTTGGTGTTGGTGCCATGCACCCAACTGGGGTTCTGTGAGCCTGTAGCAATTCCAGTATGTCCCAAATGGTCCAGAGCCCCGGGGCATATGCAGATTTATTTTGTAGATCAGTGTGGAAACTTTGATCTCTTCTTGCTGCCTCTTTCAGGGCAAGTTTTACATCTGCACAGCTTATGTGACAACCGCCAAGTTGAGAGGCAAAGGATTTCAAGCTGGTAAGGCTGGCTCTGCAAGGCATCCCAGGGCCTGTCTGCCATCAGGGAAGTCATGCCCGGGACACAGCAGAGCAGGTTCTCATCCCAGGCACAGCTCAGCTGCAGGGATGAAGAATGTGATTTGGTTTTCCTGTGTGTTCAGGAAACAGGTGCTTGGCATGGAAAGTGGCACTCCTTCCCTTCTCCTTTTATTGAAATCATTGATGATGCCATGTCTGAGACTGTGCAAGTCACTGAGGTGTAACTCAGGCACTGCCCCAGTCTGTGACTTGTCACGTTGAATTGCTCTTTTACAATAGAACAACTAGGACTGATTCAGCACCTGCATCCTGAGCCCTATCACAGTGGCCTTTGGACTTCAGCGTGGTTTGAACTATACCATTGTGCTCCTAACACTGCCCAGCACAGCACCCTGGTTCGCAAACGGAGTGACTGATCATCCTCTTGGAGCAGAATCAACTACATTTCTATAAAGGAAATGTTTAACATTGGGTGACGTAAAGCCACGAGCTTGTGCAAACTTTA